ATGACTGCAAGAGCACAGCGCAGAATGCTGCATGAGGTAAAGAAGAATCCCAGAGTGTCAGCTAAAGACCTACAGAAATCTTTGGCACATGCTAACATTTTTGTTGACACATCTACAATAAGGAAAACATTAAACAAGAATGGAGTACATGGCAGGACACCACAGAGGAAGCCATTGCCGTCCAAAAAGAATATTGCAGCACGTTTGACGTTTGCAAAAGAGCACCTGGATGTTCCACAGCACTACTGGCAAAATATACTGTGGACAGATGAAACCAAGATTGAGTTGTTTGGGAAGAACACACAACACTATGTGTGGAGAAAAAAAGGCGCAGCACACCAACATCAAAACCTCATCCCCACTGTAAAACATGGCGGAGGGAGCATCGTGGTTTGGGGCTGCTTTACTGCCTCAGGGCCTGGACGGATTGTTGTCATTGATGGGAAAATGAATTCCAGAGTTTATCAAGACATTTTGCAGAAAACGTACGACCATCTGTCCGCCAACTGAAGCTCCGCAGAGGATGGGTGATGCAACAGGACAATGACCCAAAGCATACAAGTAATTCAACAAAACAATGGCTGCAACAGCACAGAATACGCCTTCTGGAGTGGCCCAGTCAGAGTCCTGACCTCAACCCGATTGAAATGCTGTGGCATGACCTTAAGAGAGCGATTCACACCAGACATCCCAAAAATATTGCTACACTGAAACAGTTTTGTGAAGAGGAGTGGTCCAAAATTACTCCAGATCATTGTGCAGGTCTGATCTGTAACTACAGGAAACGTTTGGTTGAGGTTATTGCTGCCAAAGGAGGGTCAACCAGTTATTAAGTCCAAAGGTTCACATACTTTTTCCTCCCTGCACTGTGAATGTTTACATGTTATGTGCAATTAAACCATGTTTGTGTAGTATTATGTTCAGCAGACTGTGTTCTTCTATTGTTGTGACTTAGATGACGTTCAGAGTACATTTTATGCCCAATTCATGCAAAACTCCACGTAATCCCAAGGGGCTCACATACTTTTTCTTGCAACTGTAGTTTGGGGGTTTTTTTTTTGTTTTTTTTTTTTACCAAAGACATGTAGCAAGATACAGTTTGGCCTAAATTTATGAAGAAATTAGATTTTTTTAAATTTGTTAATTGAATATGTTTTATAACAGAAAAAAAGTGACTGCGCAATTGCCAGTTAGGCCTAGTTCACACTGGCTTTGAAAGCAGGCATTTGAGAGTCGTTTTAAACGCTCCTCAAATGCCCTATGCACATGATACTATGGGCAGTACACAGTGCGGTTCACAAATTGAAGCCTCGTGTCAAGGCAGGAGGCGTTTGAAGCCTTTCAACGCCTCCCATTCAAGTCTATGGTTACGCTCCTCAAATGCACTGGCAGGCGTTTACGAGGCATTCGCAGTGTGTGGTTGCGGAGCGTTAATAACATTACAGTTTATTTGGTGTAGTTTTAAAGCTTGTCAAAATGCTTATAAAACGTTTCAAAACTGCACATCGGGTGTTTGGGGAGCGTTTTTAACGCTTGTAAAAAGCCCGTCTAAAGCTCATTAACGCCTGTCTAACGCTTATACTAAAGCTATAGCAGTGTTTGGCAAGAGTTAGAAATTTACTCAAGTGTGAACAAGCCCTTAAAGTTGTGTAGTGCTGAATAGCAAAAAAATGCCCTGCTCATAAAAGGGGTAAAACATTCCGGTGGTCAAATGGTTCAACAACTAACCTCTTCAATGAGTTAAAGATTACCTTTATTCAAATACCATCCTGCAACTTTCCTGACCATCCTGACCTACAAAGATGTTTAGGGTTAGTGACCTAGTATATAATGAACTATTATTATTATTATTATAATATAGTATTTATATAGCGCCAAAGGGTTTGCTCAGCGCTGTACAAAAGGCAGGGGGACAAGACATGAGACAAGACAGAGACAGTGCGATACACGAGGGGTTCGAGGGCCCTGCTCTTTCGAGCTTACAATCTAGGAGGGAAGGGAAAGTGGTACAGGAGGAAGTGGCTGTGGGGGATGAGGTGGTGGGAGGAGTGGAGGTCAGATGTTAGGTGAGGGAGGGGTAGGCCTCCCTGAAAAGGTGGGTCTTCAGGGTGCGCCTGAAGGTGGTGAGGGTGGGTGACAGTCTGATGGATTGGGGTAGGGAATTCCAGAGGATGGGGGAGGTCCTGGAGAAGTCTTGCAGTTGAGCGTAGGAGGAGGAGATCAGGGAGCTAGAGAGTAGGAGGTCCTGAGAGGAGCAAAGGGCACGGGTAGGGTAGTATTTGGATAACAGGTCGGTTAAGTAGGTTGGGGCAGCATTGTGGATGGCTTTGTAGGTCAGGGTTAGTAGTTTGAATTTGATGCGTTGGGCAATCGGAAGCCAGTGAAGTGATTGGCAGAGGGGGGTTGCGGATGTGGAGCGGTAAGTGAGGTGGATGAGTCTCGCCGCCGAGTTCATGATCGACTGGAGTGGGGTTAACTATGTCCATTAATGTCCATTAATGCCAAGAACCAGCAACAAAAGAAACCCACATTTCTGTTATGACTGGATCACTTTAGGTTACTTTCAGGGTTTAATTTAATTAAAAAAAAGAAAAACCTGAAAACAAAAAAATGGCAAAAACATGGACAAAGTCCTTTTTACATAGTTTGGAATTCTATTTTATCATTAGTTGCTGGCAGTGAAGCACAACAGGGATGGGAAAATCTGCCCCTCTTGAATTCACCACCACTTTTTGCACATCCCCAAAATGTGGAAATCCAAACTTTCCTTGAGCCCCGTTAAATTCTTTAGGAGACGAATCTTGATATTCAATTTGTTTCTTTTGTGGGGCTAATAAACAAGCTATAGTCAAGAAAGAGGCACACAAAGCTAGCCACTGCCATATGAGACATTTGTTAATGCCAAAATAAAAAAAAATACATAAAAGTAATAGAGAGTACATAGATTACAGTAATTACATGAGTGAGCATACTGACAATGATTCGGTTGGTTTTAACCAATGAATTTGCAGTTGGCAATTCAGCCAAACTTTAGGATCATCAGATCTCACCTGGTCAGAGCTGTACCCAACACCAACTGTAATATAAATATGCAGACATAATAAAACCAAGTACAAATGTCAAAATGTCTGTGGACAGTAACGCAATGCTGCAAAGTTTCACTAAGGATAGATGATGGATGTCCATACAGGCAAAAATATCAACTTGGATACCCGCCTTAGCAACAGAAGATCTTTTAGCTATTCTAACAGTAATTGCATGCATATACAAAATATAGCTCTGGTGGTGATAAAACAAGAAAAGGTATACGGTACTTTTGGAACACAAGTACAAGAACACAGCAACCTCTCTACAAGGGATGTATATGCTACAAGTAATAAGTACTATATGAAGCATCTGTAAAAGCAGGAATACCAGAAGTCTGAGATACATAGCAGTGAATAGATTATGGCAGTTGGTTGTTGAGCCTGTATTTATGTTCGATGATAGGAAGCAATTAGACATGTGCACGCCAGAAATTTTTTTGTTTAATTTTGGATGCATCAGTTCATTGAAGAATTTTGTTTTGTCATATTTGTTATGTTGACCAGATTCGTTTTCGGAATTAGTTTCGTATCTTCAGCATTTGTTTCGTATACTCACTGGTTTGGATGGATTAAAAAAATGTAGCAGTTTGTCCTATATATTCAATAAAATATTGAATCGGAAGAATTCAATATATTTGGACGCTAGTTCAACCCACCAGGAGAAATGGCATGAGTTGATTGGGGAATATCGACTTGCGTCATGTGCATCTGAATTAACAAATGGAATGAAATTCGGAGCAATTTGTTATCCAAATCTGAATTATCAAACAAATTCAAAAATTTTATTAATTTCTACATGGGTCTGATCTCATCGTGTGATATAATCCGAATGCAACAAATGCATTTGTTAATTTCGTAACATTTTTTCGGATTCATTGACATTCGTTACTAGTGTCCATTCGGAGATTCGTATTCATCCGAATCTCTGAAATTGAAATTTTCGTCCAAAAAAAGAATCGCAATGAAACGCACATGTCTAGAACCAAATAAAGGGGAGAGGAAGAAAGCAAAGTACATAGCAAAAGATACAGAAAAAAAGGAGACGCAATGAAACGCACATGTCTAGAACCAAAAAAGGGGAGAGGAAGAATGCAAAGTACATAGCAAAAGATACAGAAAAAAAGGAGACGATGGTTGACAATGCATTTGTGAACTTTGTAATGGGAAAATTCCAGCTTACCAATTAATGTTTCATCAACCTCATACAGTTTTTATGTGAGCACTTGCACATTAGGATTTCTGTACAATTCTGTCTAAGATGAACAGATTGTACATTCACAAAGTAACATGTGTGGCCAGCTTAAGAACTCTTCAACCTCTAAACTGTGGCAGATGAATACTTATTTTTACTGACAGTCATCTTCAGCTATCTCATAAAAAATGACACTTGTGCGCTTAATGTGACAAATGAACACACCTCTTCTCTGCTCTCCAACTGTTCCTAATTTCCTAGGTTTTGTCTATGGGAATTACAGTCCCTGGCAATATGTGCTGTCTAATGTCTGAGGGCTTTATAATGAGAATAGCACAAGTCATTCATAGCAAAAACGATGTTTTTATCCTGTGACAGGTGAGTACTCCTAAATTGGAATAATGCAGGGTTTAATATTAAGCCATGTGGAGCAATTCATTTCACTGTACTATAAAAGACATTGCTGGATAATAATGCATTTGAAAATGATTAAAAAAAATGTTGATATACAAAATAAGTACAGCCTTGCTATATAAACCAATGACAAATAAAGTCTTATAAGTCTGATTCAAAACCTATATTCTCCGAACACAGATATCTGAGTATATTTTAATTTCTAATAATATTAATAGTAATAATAGAGTATGATTACTAATATGTAATGTGTACAGTTGCTTACATGTCCTGTCCTTAAAACAAGTTGTGTACAGAACAGAGCTTACCTGCAAATGTATCCACCAGATAAAGGGGGTCTTTAACTCTGCGGAGGCCACATATCAAGAGGAAAATATGCACATTTTCTGAAATCTGTTGAATTCCTGCAGAACAAAAGGATTTATGTTTGTGCCAAGGCAGTGAATTGAATAAACAGATTTCACTTTTGGTTCTAAGCTTCTGTAATGAGTTCTGGCTTGCAGCTGAAAAACAGATTAAAAGAATGTGTTCAGGTGGCTAAAAAAAAGTTCACGGCTATCCTGTCCAACTTAGCCCAGTACATATGGCAAATGCCAAATAAATACCAAAAGGTTAATTAAGCAAAATGCTATATATTCTTTTTCTATAGCCAGATTTATTTTTTTGTAGAGAACTGGCCTGGAAATCATGCTTATGAAGAAGAGAGGGTACGGGAAAGATCCACCCTGGTGCTGGCTTAATAACGTAAAAATGAATAGCAGCCCATGAATTGTTGGCTAATGGGTTCAGCTGCAGTCCAGAGCCTGCAGACACAGGAGCAGTCACCTAAGCCATCCCAATTTGACCAACTGCATTCTAATGGCCTCATACGTGAAAAGCATCTCCTAATCCGAATGAGTTCAGCCATACTGGGCAATGATCATCTGGTGTGTATGGGTACCTTTAAATGAGAGTGTAGCTAAGGATTCAGGAGTATAAAAGAAATTGGTTTTCGTGCACATGACAGATAAGTGCAGAGTAATTATAGTGACATATATAAAAAATAATCAAGCTACATCAAATGATGGTCTCTTTCATAATCAAGTTACAGTGATTGTAAAATTTGGCTTTTTTTAATACTTACAATGGTTTTGCACAGAGCAGCCCCGATCCTCCTCTTCTGGGGTCCCCCCCCCCCAGCGCTCTGAGCTCCACACCCAATCCTCCCCACCCGTGGAGTGCCCCCAGAGCAAGCAAGCTTACTCTGGGGGCACTCGTGCATGCTCACCTCCAAGCCCTGCTCTGTGTGTCTTGAAGACACACGTAACGGAGCACAGCCCCGACCCCAGCTCCTCGTCACTGGCTCTAACTGAAAGCAGCGGGAGCCAATGAGGAGCGAGAGAGCCTTGGCTCTCATGCACATCGCTGGATCAAGATCAGGTTCTGGTAGGTATTTAGGGGGGTTGCGGAGGAAGCTGCATCCAGAAGGTTTCTTACCTTACCACAGAGAATGCAGTAAGGTAAAACCCTTCTGCCTTTAAAACCACTTTAAACAGCAAAGTTGGTGTAAAGAAGAAAGGTGGTCGGGAGTAGCAGCAATCCTTTCCTCCTTACACTAACCAGCCTGCTTGATTGGTATTAGGACAACTGTGGTCCCTGCCTGCTCAACGTATGTTCTGCCTAGCAACAAAAAAAATTCCACTTTAACAAAAAAAAAAAAAGAAAAGCTGAACAAAATGCAAAATGTGATAAAAACGTGTACAGAAAAATGCAAAATGAACTGCGAAAAGCACTGCAAAACAGACAAAAAGCAAACTGCATAGATGTGAATAGAGCCTAAGTCCTTATGCACTTATACAGTTTTTTTCAGCCCATATAAGCAACTATATGTTAGCCTATCTGTCCATGCACATTTGGTAGTTTTCAGGCTAAAAAAAAAACAAAACAAAACAAAAAAAACAACAACATCGCAAGCTTATTTTTGAAAGGTGCTTTCAGGCAGCAGAAACATTTGATGTGCATAAATGCGCCTACATGGAACATTTAGGAACGTTCAACATTTTCAAGTGTACATAGAGAAAAATGAGCTGAGGGGAATATTTTGGGAAAAAAATGCCTATAAAAGCAAATGCCTATAAACTCTTGTGCAATTAAGCTGCTTTTTCTGCCAGAGGTTCTGGCATTTTTTTCAGCCACCTAGAGTGCACGTACCCTAGCTTAGCTAAGCCCTGTCCATTCTCCCAATAAATATGTTTTCAGAAAGCCAATTGTGCAAAGTAGATTTCTAGAGGGAGTCCTGATGCCTTCCTTGTCCTCAGTGCTGGTCTGCAGATGTGCTCTGTAGTTAGACTCACGCAGCAGCCTGCTTCTAGCAGTTTGTCATCTCCGGGAGTGCAGAGCAGCACAAAAATCATTTATGGCTCCTGGCAGTTAAGAAATGGAATCAAAACGGTATGCAGCACAGATGCCTTACTTGTTTTCACTCCTTGTCTGCAGTTGAAGTGCAAATGCAGACAAGCTTTATGTAAACACAGCAATAAATTGTTCAGGTCTGGATGTAATATGATGGTTCTCAATATACAGAGAGGAAAAAAAATATAAATCATGTCTGGATATAAATTTGGATATTCCCTTCCTTATTAAAAAAAGCTAATGGGGTTTTAAAGTACAGCTATGTGTAAAGCGTGAAAAAAGGTATCAAATCAACAGCAAGAAAGAAGCACAGCTGATGGAGAGAGAAAAAAAAAAAGGCGATGAAGTGAGAATGAAGGGGAAGAGCAGCTAATTGAATGCATAAAAGCAAAAAAAAGCAAAGCAACTGGTAGAAGTGAGAAGAGAGTAGCAAAGCTGATAAAAGCGCAGAGAGTTACTGTACAGAACAGAAGATAGAGCTAGATGCTACAATACGGTAAGAGCATGAGTAAATGCAGAGGAAAAATAGACTGAAATGAACCATTATAGGAATATGAGAGCGCAAGAGATGATTCTTTGTGAGATCCTTAATATATATATGCACTTTGAGTTAGTGTACAGCTTTGCTTCAAGCCTATAGAGTCCCCAGATGCCATGTGTTTTATCACACTTCAGTTACGGTAAGAGTAATAAGAAAATTACATATTTCTTTCACATTTTTGGCTTTCAGCTGATGGTAGCTGAAAAAGTAAAGGGCATATTTATATAGCAGTGAATATGACATTTAACCAATTACTGCAGTTGGAACTTTTGAGCGCTTGTATTTTAAAATAGTGGGAATAATTAATGTAAATGGACAATTCACTGTGTTATATATTCCCCACATTACTGATGCTAGTTAGCCTATTCATAAAGATGCAAAGTGCTAGAATACACCATTTTAGGATTGTTTTTGTAAACTTCCCATCCGAGCATCCACACTGCAGTGAATCACAGCACAAATGCCATGCTTTGTTTGAAAAAAAATTAGACCAATTTTGGCTGTGGTGCACTGACAACCTATTCAATATGAATAGGCTGCCTTAATGAAATATAAGGTAATGCTGTATCGCAACATAACACAATTCATAAATGGACCCTTAAAGTGTTACTAAACTTTTGTTTGTTTTTAATAACAAACATGTTATACCCTCATGCCAGGGTACTAGGTGTAATCCTAGACTCCTGTCAGGGACCACGGCTCCAGGGTCCGCGATCGCGGCTCCGTCCCTCGCGCATGCGCAGTGGCGGCGGATCGCGCCGGGACACAGGCACTAGGTCCCGGCGAGCCGCGGCTGACAGGACGCCGCGCATGCGCAGTAGGAGCCGCGGGCGCGCCTCAGGCGTCCAATGACAGCCGGGGGCGCGTCCTAGCCAGCCAATGACAGTGCAGGGCGCACTATTTAAAGATGCCCTGCACTGTCACAGATTGCCGCAAGGTCTTCTGTGATCCTGAGTTCCTGCACCTATCTTGTGACCCTGATTGACCCTGACTATTCTGCCTGTTCCTGCGTTTGACCCGGATTGTCCTGACTACTCTGCCTGCTCCTGCGTTTGACCCGGATTGTCCTGACTATTCTGCCTGCTCCTGCGTTTGACCCGGATTGCCCTGACCATTCTACGGATTGACTTCCCTGCTGACTCTGCGTGTGACCCGACTACTCTCGCCTACCGATTCTGTACCCCGCTTACCCTCACGGGCCCACGATCCGTTACTACCCTGCTGGGGCCGCCATCCTCTTCATATCTGGCTCTCCCGGTACCTGTCCCCAAGGGTCTCCTCAGCCACTGGCGGGCCTGCTCGGAGGTTGTGACCTGGCCCGGGACTGTTTCAAGTCCATCCCCACCATCAGGGGCTCTGGTGAAAGCACAGCCCGGGCTTAGACCCCACGCTCTGAGTAGGTCTGTCAGTTGGCAGCCTGAGGCACCACCTGGCGGATCATAACAACTCCCATATGTCCTTTCAGCCCCAAATCCAATCACTGTCCAAATCTTGTAGACTTCACCTCTGCAACATCTCCAAGATACGTCCATTCTTAACCTCGGAAGCCACTAAGCAACTTATTCACTCCCTTGTTATCTCTCGCCTTGACTATTGTAACTTCCTCCTCATTGGCCTACCTCACTGCAGGCTATTTCCTCTTTCTATCAGCCCCAAATATCATGAATGCTGCTGCCAGACTCATCCACCTTACTAACCGTTCTGTATCTGCCATCCCTCTCTGCCAATCCCCCTCCATCCCTGGCTTCCCATTGCCCAACGGATAAAATTCAGAACACTAACAATAACGTATAAAACAATTTATAACTGTCCCAAATTACATCACCGATCTTGTTTCTAAATATCACCCAAACCATACTCTCCGCTCCTCGCAAGACCTCCTACTCTCTAGCTCCCTTGCCTCCTCCTCCCATGCTAGTCTCCAGGACTTCCCCCATCCTCTGGAACTCTCTACCCCAATCAGACTATCGCCTACTCTGCTCACTTTTAGGCGATCTCTGAAAACCTATCTCTTCAGGGAAGCATATCCTGCCCTTAGCTAATACTGGAATCTTCTACTCTTCCAACCAGTCCATCCCCCAGTTACTACGTTTTGTACCACTAGCCCCTTCTCCTAGATTGTAAGCTCCAAGGAGCAGAGCCCTCAAATCCCTCTTGTATTGAACTGCATTGTTGCTGTATTGTCTCCCGTTATATTGTAAAGCACTGAGCAAACTGTTGGTGCTATATAAATCCTGTATAATAATAATAGTAATAATAATACAGTGGATATAAAAAGTCTACACACCCCTGTTAAAATGTCAGGTTTCTGTGTTGTAAAAAAAGGAGACAAAGATAAATCATTTCAGAACTTTTTCCACCTTTAATGTAACCTATAAACTGTACAACTCAGTTGAACAACAAATATTTTAGGTGGAGGGAAGTAAAAATAAAAAAACTAAAATAATATGGTTGCATAAGTGTGCACACCCTTAAATTAATACTTTGTTGAAGCACCTTTTGATTTTATTACAGCACTCAGTCTTTTTGGATATGAGTCTATCAGCATGGCACATCTTGACGTGGCAATATTTACCTACTCTTCCTTGTAAAAACACTCCAAATCTGTCAGATTGTGAGGGCATCTCCTGTGCACAGCCCTCTTCAGATCATCCCACAACTTTTCGATCAAATTCAGGTCTAGGCTCTGGCTGGGCCATTTCAAAATTTTAGTCTTCTTCTGGTGAAGCCATTCCTTTGTTGATTTGGATATATTTTTTGGGTCGTTGTCATGCTGAAAGATGAAGTTACTCTTCATGTTCAGCTTTCTAGCAGAAGCCTGAAGGTTTTGTGCCAATATTGACTGGTATTTGGAACTGTTCAGAATTCCCTCTACCTGGACTAAGGCCCCAGTTCTAGCTAAAAAAAAACAGCCCCAAAGCATGATGCTGCCACCACCATGCTTCACTGTGGGTATGGTGTTCTTTTGGTGAAATGATGTGCAGTGTTGTTTTTGTGCCAAACATATCTTTTGGAATTATGGCCACAAAGTTGAACCTTGGTTTTATCAGACCATAACACATTTTCCCACATGCTTTTGGGAGACTTCAGATGTGTTTTTGCAAAATTTAGCCAGGCTCGGATGTTTTTTCTTCGTAAGAAAAGTCTTCCGTCTTGCCACTCTACTCCATTGCCCAGACATATGAAGAATACGGGAGATTGTTATCACACGTACCACACAGCCAGTACTTGCCAGATATTCCTGCAGCTCCTTTAACCGCCTCCCGCCCGCCATAAAAGGTAATGACAGGCGCAAGGCGGTTCTCTCGTTCTGGGAGGACGTTATATGATGTCATCCCACTCTAACCGCGCATGCGTGGCTCCGGTAACGCGCAGCGTGGCGATCGGTGGTGCGCTGTGTCCCTGGGACACAGTGGATCACTGATCCAGGGAAAGAGCCGAAGATGTCGGCTCGCTCATGTGATCACCTGTGTCCATCACAGCTGATCACATGTAAATAGGGAAATGCCGGTTGTGACGATTGCGGCGTCAGACCCCAGCCCTTCTCACCAAACTCGTGATCGAAGGACTAGCCAATCTAAAACTGCGCTGTCACGTGCATAACAATGCCACGTCCAGCTGCACCCTGCACAAAGATTTTCCAGCTAATGGACCACAATCTGTGTACCGCCAGCCTGGGAGCGATTGTTACTGAGTCAGGTTAATTACGTAATTAACCCTTCACACTGCCACCACCTCCTTTTTGTACAGAAAAAGAGGAAACTTGGAAATATCAGCAATAACACTATGATGTTTGAATAATCGCTTGTATACACAATGTCACCGCAGACAGATGTATGCAGACGTTTAAACACACACAGTAGCGCTCTTCAGAGACAGGGGGTTCTTAGTTTGCATTAAAGAGCTTTAGAAACAGTTCAACACTTTCAGAAAGTAAGCTTTATTACTAAAAGGTCAAAAGGGTGCAATAAAAATATTTACAGAAAAAGATGTAGCCAATATACATGTATAAATATACAGAGAGCAATAACACCGCAAAGAGATAACAGAAAGACGTTTTGAGGGGTAAAGTACTTGCCGTCAGCCTTGGTTTAAGTAGATCAAGTTTCCTGAGCCAAAAGGGTGCCTTATCTCCCAAAGTTAGTTCCGATGTTAAAAGGGAGAATCTTCAACTTAGCTCAACTCAGCTTAGCTTGCTTCAAGCATAACAGCTTTTTTCTAGGACTCAGCAGGATGTCTCCTTAAGCAGAGAACCAATCGCCTCATTTGGGGAGGGGTGTTGTAGGTGGGGAGCTCAGGCTATGACCAAATCCCTCCCAAATTATACTATGGTCAATAACGTTTCCTAGGTACATGCAACATTCTATCCACGGGTAGATTAATACGCAGAATCATCTGCTGAACGTCTAGATATGCAATTAGACATACCTGCTGGCACGGTTAAGGAGATATCATTTTTCTGCTCTTCTGTAGCTGTCAGCTAGGGGGTGTAATATATAAGACGATTTGTATTAAAGTGACAGATCTGAATATATGCCTGGTTTTTATGTAAGTCTTTCATATTCCAAGATATGTAATCATAGGGGAAAATGGATGTTGAATGTGATGTCTGGTTCACGGTTTATCTGGAATGTCTTTGAAGCTCAGCGAGGGACTGGTTTATGGTTTTACGATCCTTTTCCAAGCAGAGTGTCGCAGACATATGGGGACCAGGCTAATTGGGGTTTATAGCCAGGAGCTCCCCCGCTGGGACTTGATGCCTTTTTGAACTCAGCATCCAGGGACCACGTGTCACTCAACAGATAGGGAGGGGGGGATTTGGAGTAGGAGAGAGAGATACAAGATGGAGGGTTTGGAGCAACATGGATGACCACGTCCATCTCTGTGTGCACGATTGCTACACCGGTTATTGGAATTTCTGTCCTCATGAGCTGTCACGCTGACAGCTCGAGAGGAGAGCTGGTAATCAGCATTCCTCGGAGGGGACATCTACACTGATCATCAGGGCACTGATGATCAGTGTGCCCTGATGATCAGTGTAGCCCCAGCAGTGCCACCTGTCAGTGCCCATCAATGCCAGCTGTCATTACCGATCAATGCCACCTGCCAGTGCCGATCAATGCCACATATCAGTGCCCATCTGAGCTGTCTTTCAGTGTCACCTATCAGTGCCAGTCAGTGCCATCTATCAGTGCTGCCAATCAGTGCCAGACAGTGCCGCCTATCAGTGCCATATATGAGTGTGCTGCCTTTCAGTGCCCATCAGTGATGCCTGTCAATGCCCACCAGTGCCACCTACTAGTGCCTCCTCATCAGTGCAGCCTATTAGTGCCCATCACTGCAGCCTCACTAGCGCACATCAGTGAAGGAGAAAAATCACTTATTTACAAACTTTTATAAAAAAAAAAACTAAAAAAAAACATTTTTTTTTTCAAAATTTTCAGTTATTTTTGGTTTGTTTAGCAAAAAGTAAAAAACACAGAGGTGATTAAATACCACCAAAAGAGTGTTACCACTAAAATAAGACCTACCCCGAAAATAAGACCTAGTACTTTTTTTGGGAATTGCTAAAGTATAAGACCTACCCCGAAAATAAGACCTAGTTGTGATCAGGGCCTCTTTTCAGCTGGAACGTGGCGGAACGTCATTCTGCCACCTTCGGCACTGGTTCTGCGCACACCAATATCTGCTGTCTCTTCCCTCTCTTCCCACAGAACCGCCGTACCTTTGTACTCACTGTGGGACAGGGAAGGAACAGATACCTGCAGGCGCAGTATGCAGTGTGTTTTTGGGGCGGGGGGTGGGGTATCTCCTCCTGCAGCCTAATGCATGGGGTGATCACCGGTCAGTGGGAAAGAGGCGGAGCGGTGATTGAGTGCCCTTGGTGCACTGTGTGGGAAGATAGGACCCGAAACGTGAGTTACTATAGAGAGGGGCCAGCTGCTGACAGATGTGTTTTGCAAAGCTAGTTAACCATATGAGGGCAGTGGAGGGGGAGGGGGGATGTGCAAAGGTGAGCTGCAGTCAGGTGTTGCAGAGGTAAATTGAGTCAAGTGAGTTGCAGACAGGTGCACAGGTGAGCTTCGGATGGGGGGGTGCAGAGGTGAGCTGAGTTGCAACCCACCTCTGCACCCCCAGGCCATAGCCCAGCTCTGCACCCCCTGGCTAAAGCACACCTCTGCATCCCCCGTCTGCTACTCACCCCTGCACCATGTCTGTGGCTCATATTTGCACCCTGTCTGAAACTCACCTGTCAAATCACCTCTGCAACACCTGACTGCAGCTCACAACTGTCATCAGCCTGCCCTCTCTATAGTAACCCTCATCCACAACTGCCTGCAGCTCACCTCTGCACCCCCTGTCCACACCTGGACATTTAAAAAATAAGACCTACCCCGAAAATAAGACCTAGTGTGTTTCTGTGAGCCAAAAAAAAAAATATAAGACAGTGTCTTATTTTCAGGGAAACACTGTATCTGTCTCAAAAAAAATTATAAAAATCTCATATGGGTACAGTGTTGCATGACTGCGCAATTGTCAAAGTGTGACAGTGCTGAAAGCTAAAAACTGGCCTGGGCAGGAAGGGGGTATAAGTGCCCTGTAGGCAAGTGGTTAATGTTGCTGTAGGCCTCTTGGCAGCCTCCCAGACCAGTTTTCTTCTAGTCTTTTCATCAATTTTGAAGGGACGTCCAGTTCTTGGTAATGTCACTGTTGTGCCATATTTTCTGCACTTGATGATGACTGTCTTCACTGTGTTCCATAGTATATCTAATGCCTTGGAAATTCTTTTGTACCCTACGTTAAATTGCTTCTCCCCTAGGGTAAACAAGCAGTTAACCCTTGCAATGCGGGCGCAGACCCACTGCAAGGAATAATTTCAAATTTCCTGGACTTGGGATTTAATCTCTATGTTAAGGTTGGAGAGATTCCTTCACTCCGTCATGGAACAAGGCTGTCTCCAGGACAGTGAGTAATGCTGTAGGCACAAATTATTCCTAATTTTTTGGCACAAAGGATCAGCTATTGTGCATATAGGCAGCATATTCAGAAAATGAGAAAACAAAAATGACTGCTTATAGTTAGAGAAAAAAATAACAGCGCTCTCATTAAAATCCACTACAATGGTGCTGTTTAGACTGCATTTGCATTGCAAATGTTTATTTAGCTGCTTAATATGGAGTTGCCCTTTAATGAACACAACCATTAAAATAGATTAAAGCGGACAAGTATGTTACCTCCTTGAGCTTCAATAACATTTGTAAACAGTCCAGTCTGCCTTGTTATATCTATTTTCTGACAGAGCGCTCAAATGAAGCATTCATGGTTCTTCAGCCATCACACACATTAAAACGCCTGCATACTTCTGCAAGCAAAAGCAGATCAATTCCTTTGGCATGCATAAAGAACTTTGATCAGCAAACATTTCATTGTTTATGAAGAGGTAAAAGAGGCCACAGAACGTCAAACCCAAAGAGCAGAAGACTACTTGACTGAAGCTAACAAATTGTATTGCTTGAAAATGAAGTAAAAATATAAACAGGACATAATGATTACATAGAATTGTGTAGTGGGTCTGAATGAAGAGCGAGCGTAAGGAAAATGACAGGCAATATTGATCTGCTAAACACAAGGAGACTCTCAACAATATTGTTGTTCAACTATCTCGGTACTCTAGTATGTTATAAGGACTTGGTAATAAAGCTGGAATTCTATGAAAGGTTATCAATGTTGAACTCCAGAAAGCTATATAATATACCTACTGAGATATATTTTCTAAAAAAAAAAAAAAAAAGGAAATATAGAAAACCTGCATTATGTTTACGTGTAGCTAACATGCATCTGTCCTTCTGTAATCTCCTGCACACAAGGCAGATGGAACCACAGGTTAGCCAGTCAGGGCTCTACCACTTTACACCGTGCTATAGATCTAACACCAAGATCAGGTGAAGAGCACAAGGATGTCCTCATAAGTGTCCTCAGTGCTGGTCTGCAGATTAGTGTGCTGCTGCTTCATCACTGTCCACTCACAAGCTGAGATTCTGGACCAGGCTTAATTGCAGTATATTCTGTAGAGGTACAGAGCCTTATGCAGACACAGGGACTTCTGGATTGCAACACCAGCTTAAAATATTTGTAGAAGCTATAGGTTTCTACTTTCTCATTCTTTATTCTCTACATTAACGTAGGCAGGTAAGGCAGCTCCCCCTCTTCTAAATACCTACTTGAGGCCAATCTCGATCCAGTGCTGTGCCCAAAAGTAAAAAGTAGTGCCACTGCTCTCGCACTCCTTCCCCATTGGACTCAGTGAGAGCAGCAGCAAAAGCCATTGGCTCCTACTGCTGTCAATCAATCCAGTAATGAGGGAGCGGAGGGTTGGGCTGAGCCACACTGTGTTTGTCAATAGATCAAACCCATAGGAGTGCCCTCCCCCCACTAGAAAGCAGCTTGCTAGGGGGGGTACTCAGAAGGCCAGAAGAGCCTAGGTTCTTCCTACTCTACCTTATCTAAAAAGTATAAATATTGTTTTAGCATAACATTTTTAGCATGTAGTGTGATACAGTCAACCACAGAATATGTAACCATTTTGTGTGTAATGGGATTTATTTTTTACATATCTTGTATTTGGTAAATGTAATAACATGGACCGCAAAGAGTGAAGTCATGTGAAATGGACAGTTTCTGCAAGGAAACACATACATCTTGCAACTAAAGAAATTTTTCATGGAGGAATGGTCAAATATATGATGACTGGTGGGCAGTTACTTAAAAAGCCTTCCAGAAGTCATTTCTGTTATGGGGGGCAATACCAGCTTCTGAGGCCAAGGGTGTATATCATTTTAAATTTAAGTCCACTGAGCATCTGACACCCTGAATTAGCCTGAGTCTGAGCCCACTACAACATTTTGTCTAATACAGGATGCTGAGATCTGACCAATGAAAGCTCCTACTGCATCCCAGAAAGCGAGTCTTAATTGCTTGGTTTACTCTTTTTTAACATAAACTGGTCAGATTTTTTTTTTTTTCAGTCAATGGATGGAGGAATCTCCTGCTGTAGCCATTGTATTTTGGCAACTGGTCTCAGAGACTGTCAAAATACCTGAACAACAGCAGCATCTGAATTGATACAGCCACTTTTCAGTGAGCAAATTCTTCCCAACTCCTTCAACTGAAGGATTAGAAACAAAATCAGTGCAGCACTCCCTAAAACTTATCACCGTATAACCTAATTTGGAAAAAAAAAAATAGAACACACCCTTATTATTCGCTGTGAAAAAATGCACGTGCAGAACATCCCCATGCTCTTGATCAAAATCCAGCAGAGAATCAAAATAAACAAATCTGAGACCTCTGAGGAAGTTTCTATCAGAAAGCAAAACGTCAGATGGCAGTGTCAATGATGTCACTACACTGGCCATTGCTACATGTATAGCTGAGTTTCATAGGCCCAATATACATATATAGTAAATGTCAGTCAGGGACAAAACATTATGGAAAGCGGTTTCATGTCACTGTACATGTGAGCGGTTTTATGCCATCTGTTTTTTAATAAATATTGATATGGGGAGCACTATGATATATCTTACACTCTCTGCATGAGTCACTCCATTTAGAGATATCACTGAGAAGCTGTTCCTGGGGAGGGGAGTGACGTACAACACTATGGAAAGCTATTTGATGTCACTGTACATGTCAGGGTTTCTGTGCCATGTGTTTTTTTTTTTTAAATATCAATATGGAGAGCACTATGGTATATCTTGCTTTCTCTGCATGAGTCATTTTGTTTTGGAATATTATTGAGAAGCTGACAAGCTCTTCATGGGGAGGGGAGTTAAGTATGACATTATGGAAAGCTGTTTTCTGTCACTGTACATGTCAGTGTTTCTGTGCCATGTTTTTTTTTTTTAATATCAATATGGAGAGCACTATGGTATATCTAACTTTCTCTGCATAAGTCATTCTTGCTGTTTGTTTGTGGGAAGAGGAGAGAAGTGCTCCAATTATTCTGGATGCTATTTTTTTTTACCTCCTATAATTCAGGCATCCCTCTGAGAAAGTGACAGCGTAATCATAAGCATTTGGTGTACAGACTGAGGGGCACTTTCTCAAGAAGATTTTAACTGCTGAACACAAAAGAGAATGGAGCGTGTTTGCACTTTTCAAGAGATGTTATGCGCAGTTCCTTTTGATCTGTCTGCACTTATACTGGACGGTACTGATATTTCACAATCTGTTTGCACGGTTTAAAAGTGGCATAGT